CGTTGACTGTCTTCGGGATAACCATTCAACTTGGATGGTTATGCCGTTGACAGATAGATAGATATAGTCCAGGAGGAGAAAGGGGTGTATCGTAATCCAAGCAGGGAATTTATGAGAATATGTGGCTTTGGGCAATTTTGGAGCGCTGATTTCAAAAATCGATGTTATACGGGCCAATACTGGGTCCTTCAGCCTCGTTTTGATGCATATAACCTCGTTTTGGGGCATACATAGGGAACACGTTAGTTGTCTTAGTTAGCTAGGGAAACCAGTGATTTTGGTCAATTTCGGTGCACTGATTTCAAAAATCGATGTTGCGTGCAATACCGAGGCCTTCAGCCTCGTTTTGGTGCATGCAGCCTCGTTTTGGTGCAAATAGATGGAAATCATTAGTTAGCTTAGATAGGCAAAGTCGTTGGTGATCTTGGTCAATTTCGGTGCGCTGATTTCAAAAATCGACGTTACACAGCAAAATACCGTGGCCTTCAGCCTCATTTTGGTGCGTACAGCCTCTTTTTGGTGCCTAGATATGTGCCTTAGATAGCCAAGGAAGTTGGTGATTTTGCTCAATTTCGGTGCGCTAATTTCAAAGATCGAAGTTATATGCGCAGATATATTGGAACCTCTAGTCTCCGTTTGATACACATATCCTTGATTTAGTGGAACTATTGGGAAGATCCTACTTAAACAAGGAAGAAAGCTAGTGATTTCTGCCCTTTTTGATAAAAAGCAATACTGTTGCCGCATTAAATTGAGGTCATGTTAATATGCATTGCATTAAAAAACATGTACATTCTGATCACAAACCTTGCACTTTTCTTTTCAAAATTCACTCGTGTCTTCAATTTCCACATCCAAATCATCCTCGTAGTCATCATTGGAGGACAAACTGTTCTAACTCTCCCTGCCTGCGAGTAGCGCATCAATATCCCCGGGATAGGAAATGTCACTCCAGACAACGCTTCCATTCCGTCCCATCCATGCTCGTCGGGGCTCTCGAGTTCTACTAGCAGCTGATCGGCGTGTCAAAAGATGTACGCGTCATAGTTAGCTCTCATGATGTGATGATGAAGATTTGACTGGCATAGTGGCATTAGACAATGGTCAATGATCTTTTTCTTGTTGAACTTGTTCCAAAATATTTTCTTCCTTGCCTCATTGACTGAGAGGATACGTGGATGCTCGTATATAGAACAGACGAACCATTCTATACCCCGAACCAACTCCTCGCTTGCTGTCACCTCCATACCCAAGGATGAAAATAGATCGATTAAAGTAGTGTTCTTGGTCACGGCTTTCCACACGGCCTGCTTTTGCTTTCGAAAAAGGCTAGATACATAATCGTCCGGAAAAGGCATGCGTTCCCAAAAGAGCTCATCTGTGACCAAGGGACAATCCAGTTGACGTCACGTCGATGATTTTCCTGTTTTTCCCGCTGCCATTGTTAATCAGAATCTGTGTGTCCGAAAAATAATGACCAATGAACAAGGTTATTATGTCTATATCACCAGATGGTGACCGTACCATTGCAGTTGAGCTAGGTGGCAATTGGCTAGCATGCACAAATGCAATGAGTTTATTACCAGAATTAACCAGCGACCGCGAGGAAGCGGAAAAGAAACTCGTTGCATGTGTGCATACTAACCAATTGCCACCTAGCTCAACTGCAATGGTACGGTCGCCATCTGGTGATATAGACATAATAACCTTGTTCATTGGTCACTATTTTTCGGACACGCAGATTCGGACAATGGTAGCGGGAAGAACAAGAAAATCATCGACGTGACGTCAACTGAATTGTCCCTTGGTTACAGAAAAGCTCTTCTGGGAATACATGCCTTTTCCGGAAACGATTATGTATCTAGCTTTTTTCGAAGGAGAAAGCAGGCCGTGTGGAAAGCCGTGACCAAGAACACTGCCTTTATCGATCTATTTTCACATTTGGGTACGGAGCTGACAGCAAGCGAGGAGTTGGTTCGGTGTTTAGAATGGTTCGTCTGTTCTATATACGGGCATCCAAGTATCCTTTCTGTCAATGAGGCAAAGAAGAAAGTATTTTGGAACAAGTTCAACAAGGAGAAGAAGATCATCGACCTAAGTCTGATGCCACCATGCCAGTCAAATATCATCACATCATGAGAGCTAACTATGTCGCGTACATCTTTTGACACGCCGATCAGCTTCTAGTAGAACTTGAGAGCCCCGACGAGCATGGATAGGACGGAGATGGAAACGTGGTCTGGAGTGACATTTCCTATCCCGAGGAGATTGATGCGCTACTCGCAGGCACGGAGAGTTAGAACAGTTTGTCCTCCGATGATGACTACGAGGATGATTTGGATGTGGAAATTGAAGACACGAGTGAATTTTTACAAGGTTTGTAATCAGAATGTACATGTTTTTAATCCAATGCATAACATGACCTCAATTTAATGGGGCGACAGAATTGCTTTTTATCAAAAAGAGCAGAAATCACTAGCTTTCTTGCTTGTTTAAGTAGGATCTTCCCAATAGTTCCACTAAATCAAGGATATGCGTATCAAACAGAGGCTAGAGGTTCCAATATATCTGCGCATATAACTTCGATTTTTGAAATTAGCCCACCGAAATTGAGCAAAATCACTAATTTCCTTGGCTGTCCAAGGCACATATGTAGGCACCAAAACGAGGCTGTACGCACCAAAACGAGGCTGATGGCCTCGGTATTTTGGTGTGTAACATCGATTTTTGAAATCAGCGCACCGAAATTGACCAAGATCACCAACGACTTTGCCTATCTAAGCTAACTAGTGATTTCCCTCTATTTGCACCAAAACGAGGCTGAAGGTCTCGGTATTTGCCTGTGTAACATTGATTTTTGAAATCAGTGCACCGAAATTGACCAAAATCACTGGTTTCCCTACCTAGCTAATTAAGACAACTAACGTGTTCCCTATGTATGCCCCAAAACGAGGCTGTATGCATCAAAACGAGGCTGAAGGCCCCGGTATTGGCCCGTATAACATCGATTTTTGAAATCAGCGCCCCAAAATTGGCCAAGGGGTAAGTACTTAGTCTTGCAGGGATATAGTGGATCCGTATATATTATCTTACTCATGATAGTTGCTGGTCATCCCTGGTGTTTAATGGTTGTTCCTGGTAGTTGCTGGTCGTTAGTGGTTGTTTCTAGTGGTTCCTGGTAGTTGCTGGTCGTCACTGGTGTTTAATGGTTGTTTGTAGTGGTTCCTGGTAGTTGCTGGTCGTTACTGGTGTTTAGTGGTTGTTTGTGTTTGTTCCTGGTAGTTCGTGGTCGTTAGTGGTGTTTAGCGGTTGTTTGTAGTGGATCCTGGTAGTTCGTGGTCGTCACTGGTGTTTAATGGTTGTTTGTAGTGGTTCCTGGTAGTTCGTGGTCGTCACTGGTGTTTAGTGGTTGTTTGTAGTGGTTCCTGGTAGTTGCTGGTCGTTAGTGGTTGTTTCTAGTGGTTCCTGGTAGTTGCTGGTCGTCCCTGGTGTTTAATGGTTGTTTGTAGTGGTTCCTGGTAGTTGCTGGTCGTCACTGGCAAGGAGTGCAATTGACCATTTGCGTAACGGACAACATTTTGACCTAAACAAGTCTGGGCAAAAATTTCATCACAGTTTGAAAGAGCATCACAAGATTAGTAATACTTCAAAGTGTCGTTGTGAATTGTTGTAAAATGCGGTAATACAGCCTCACAGCGTATCGGGCTGTCAATTTCCCGTTTGTAATCTAAAATGACTGAAAATTGCAAATTTCGCAAGGGTATATTCATTTGCGTAGCCAGACCTTCATTTTTGGTTGGGCGAAGCGAACGCCCAAGGCGCGAGACCGTCTAGGGGGGTCCGGGGGCATGCACGCCCGGGAAAATTTTGGAATCTAGCCCTGAAATGCGATTTCAAGCATTTTGGGGGTGAAATTTGCAGAATTCCGAAGATTATAAAGTACGTGGAAGACATGAATTTTCCCAGACATTTTCTATAATTTTCTACTCGGAATTAAATAAATTGGAAAAGTCACCTTGAAATACAGGAGTAGCCGGTCAGCATCACCTTATTTCCCCTCTGTGATGCTGGGGAAAGAAAATCCCAATGTGATTTTGATCAGAAATGTTGCATTTAAACTGATTCTAGGTTCTATGAGACAGCATTTTTTTCAAAATTGCGTTGCTTTTTTAAACGGTACAGAATAAGTCTGAGAAGAATATTCATGCAATGATATATTAAATCTATTCTTCTTGGAACCATATCTATTACGCAAATGGTCAATTGTTTCAGCGCAAACATGACCAAAGCTTAGAATTCGAAATTGTTAAAATTGCGAACGATTCATAATTTTGACCATCTTTTATCTCAAACTTTGACCAAATCTTAGCAACTTTGAACTTCAATTTTAAACAAATATTATTTCCATTTTGTCCAACTTTGACCAACGTTTTGAACTACACAAACCCCCCCCCCCCTTTCTCCAACCCCCCTCCCTGTAGCGACATCCCTGAATGCAGCTAGGATTCGTATTCTCGGATAATTTAAACAATCTTATATCAAGAAACTTTGCCTTTTTGGGCTGGGGACCCGTGAGGCAAAGTGCCCCCCTCTCACCCCCCGCCCCGGGTAAGGCGGAAATGACGATTCGTGAAGGTTGAGTTGAGTACAACCTCGTCACAGAGTAGAGACATACAGAGACGTAACTAGTGTACCCACTTTTTTGTGCGCATGCTCGGCAAGTTACTAGATGCATGCATCTGATTGGATGACGACCTGATGATGACTCACTTTAAACTTGCTGAGCACGCGGAGTTGATCATTTTTCGCCCGGTCGCTTGAAAAAAAGTGGGTACATGATAACGTAATCTTCCGCAGTGTTTACAACGGTCAGTTACGTCTCTGTATGTCTTATCACAGTTTAATGATATTGGTCTTATCTACTCTGTGACCTCGTTCCCGGGTTGAGTATTTTTGTTACGCGGCTACCAATGTTTTGTGCGCTACCATCTAGCGCATGCATCGAATGTATCAAATTTTGAATTTTTGAAAAAGTTGTCATATCGTAGAAAAGTATGAGTTCTACTGGGAAAATGAAGTTAATTTTTGTTAGTGACAATCGAAATAAGATTAAAGAGGTTAGGGACATCTTCTTTGATAGTTTTGTGACTTGTGACTTCTTTTTACTTTATAGATAGGCTGTTTCTTGCAACACATGTAAAAATCTCACAGCTTGTCAACAAGTTGTAACAAAATTAATGCTGTTATTTCATCAAGTTGCTGCAAGGCTGTCAATTGCAGGACGATAACAAGTTGTTGGAACAACTTGTAACAAGTCTGTTGAGCTCAACAACCTTGTAGCAAGTTGTCAACAAGCCGTTGACAACTTGTACGTCAACAAGCTGGGAACAAGCAGTGCGAACACATCCTGTTGGAACAGCATTGCTACAAGTTGACTGCAAGTTTGTTACAACATAGTGAAAGAGTAGATACATTGATTCCAAGCATTGTGTTGCCTTCGAAAGTTGCCTAATAGAATTATATTATAAAAAGTAGAATTAGATTTAACATTGTCACAGATGACATTAGTCACTTATTGTGCACACTCTACAGGTAAAGTCTATGCTTGGTGAAGATTTTCCCTGGACATTAGAAGCCAAACATATTGATTGTAAGTTCATTATTCCTGTCAGATTGACGTTTTATAAACCATATGCTATAAATTAGGTTTCTATGGACTGAAGTTTTAGTAGTTTATTTGAATAAATTTCATTAGTACCAGAATTCCAAGGAGAACCAGATGAAATCACAAGAGAGAAATGTAAAGTTGCCGCAAAACAGGTAACAAAAGCTTAAAGGGCAGGACCACAGGGGTAGGGGGACAGTCCACTCCCCACTCGTCATTTCTGGGGGAGCGCCTTAACTGGGGAGAATTTTGTGCACTTGTGCATATACTGGTACTCTTCATAAACTTGGTATCAATATGTTAAATTTTACATTCAATATTTTGTTACTAGATTGGTGCTCCAGTTATTGTTGAAGATACATGTCTATGTTTCAATGCACTGGGTGGAATGCCTGGTCCTTACATGTGAGACCATTTAAACCAGTGTCAGTCAAGTCTTTTTATTACCTTCGCCAAGAGCTGATCAGGGGCGCCGGAGCCACGGGGGCAGTGGCCCCCTCTGCCCTAACAGTGCGGGGGCAACTGGTTGCCCCTTTTTGTGACAACAAAAGGATTAAGGCATTAACTAATAAGTTCGATATAGGCATTAACTACTAAATTATTATTGTTGACTTGCCGTCATATGTATAAGTATATATTATGACCATGTTCATTCCACGGTTCATTTACACATTATGTAGGCTAGGTTGATCGTCTTGTTAGTTATATAAGCCTTCTACATTTTTCTAGTTTCTTGACACACCTAAATTTCTGTAGTCGATTAGCGCAGTCATGTTCTGGCACTACAATAACACATTCGCTATAAGTCTTCCTCTGTTCTAGATGATTTTTAGTGCATTCCAGCTAGGGACATAGCCAGGACTTGCAATGTATCCGTCCACAAATGCTCGACCAGGTCTGCTGTCTGCCCCCCCCCCAAAAAAAAGGTTTCTCTTGGAATAATTTTTAAATCAGATTTTTAATCTTTATTTTCTAAAAACATAATTCGTAGCAGTCAAAAGAACACTTGTAAAACTACACTCAAAACTGAAGAGCAAACAGCTTGGTTACAAACAAAATACTAGAGTTTTAACATCAACTGCCAGGTTCACAAGTACCCGTCCAAAAGACGGGTGAATGGGCCTCTGGTTAATTCATGTTTTCAGCTTATTGTGATCATCAGTTTCCATCCAAAATACGCAACCTCATTAAGTTCAGTTTTTAGTTTGTTTAACTTCTTTGCCTTTACTATAAATAATTAATTAAGAAGTACTGAACTGTGACAGTTAGTTGACTCAGTCAGTTTTTTTTGTTGCGATATACATCTGCATACGCAAGCAAGTGCCAAAGAAGCAAGGATTACATATTATAGAGTTGTCGGTTTCTTTATATATAGTACAGTGTTACAATTGGTTATTATCGGTTTATTATTCCTTGATCTTATTATATATCAATTTAGTTTACTCTACATTATTGTGTGAGTATATTTGCATGAACTGTATTTGTGTTAGCTTGCTATTGTAACAATATTTTGCGCTCTTTCTGTTTTGTCTTGCACAAGGTTTGTTATGAATTTATTCATAATCTATTCATAATCTATTAAAAATCTATGAAAAATCTGATCTAGTGTCAATGTATAGAAATGTTTGGCTGCAAACTGTGAGACTTCATCAGCTACCAAAATTGATTCCACCCATATAATATATACTTAAAATTTTCACTGTTTTTTGTATTTTACGACGTTTATTAATTCTCAAAATTATGTCAAATCTCATGAAATGCCCAAAATGGCATTTCAGAGACTCTAGATCAAAATTTCCAAGGTGAGGATGCCCCTGGACACCCTACGAGGTCTCGCGCTTTCTGCGATCGAGTGCCCTTTTCAAATCAAGATTGTGCCCCCGCCGCTTTTCAGTCCTTCCGGTGCCCCTGGGGCTGATGTTTTTGTCCACGTTTAAACATATGTGCATGTGTGATTATTTTGGTCTTTTTTTAGAAAATGGTTTCTTAAAAAACTGAAGCCTGAAGGTAATAAAATAATAGTTTTATTGTTATTATTGTTATATTAATATAGAATAATTATGAAAAAAAAAATATAAAAATCTAATTTCTCTAACCAAAAGCATGTCTTTAGAAAACACACGATATATCACTAAAACATACTATATAGTAAGTTTTCTGAAATATTTCTTTAATGTAGGTCTACATCGCTTGTTAACTGGTTGGGAGGACAAATCCGCTTATGCCGTCTGTACATTTGCATATTCTAGTGGTGACCCAGAGAAGTCCGCTGTCAAGCTATTTTATGGCAAAACAAATGTATGTCCATGTATATGCCTGTAAAGCCCTGGGCAAACTAGGAAACATTGTTGCGGAAACATTGTTTCCTAGGTCCAATGTTTCGCCATGTTTCCCAGAGTGGGCAAACACTAGGAAACATTAGTGAGAAACATAAGGAAACATCAAATGTTTCTGAATTCGCTAGGAAACATTTTTGCTTCTCGGGAAGCAAATTTTGTTTCCGCAACAATGTTTCCACGGATGGGCAAACATGGAAACATTTGAGGAAACATCGAGAGTCACAAATGTTTCCGCAACAATGTTTCTTAGTTTGCCCAGGGCTTAAGAATTATGTTGGATCAATTTATGATTATTTAGGCCACCCTTATATTTTTTTTTGTGATTGCAACATACATGTGCAGTTGTCTTAATGGATGAGTAGTTGAATTTTTTCATGCTAATACATGAATTTATTTATTTTCTATTTGATGTAGGGAAAAATTGTCAAACCAAGAGGACCACAAACGTTTGGTTGGGATCCATGCTTTCAACCTGATGGTTTTGAAGAAACGTAAGCAAAATTGCATGAATTTCAATGTATAAATAAATACAGTCTGAAATAGGCTCCAGAGTATGGCCGAGCTAGTTCTCAATAAAGCTCTTGGGTGTGCACGTATGTCTGAAAACCTGCCTGGAATTTATTCATGATTTGTAATTAAACAAACCATATTCTGCGTTACTGTTAAGGTATGCTGAAATGGATGCCGATGAAAAAAACAAAATATCTCATCGTGGAAAAGCACTGCAAGCTTTAAAAGACTATTTTGACGATCCTGATACTACACCCCCAAAGCGTTTAAAACTAGCAACCGAGCAAGAGGAAGCATCATAGTCTTAAATATTGACTTTAAATTTTAACGTTCTTATAATTGCTGCGGAGCGAGCGAGCCTGAAGCGAGCGAGCGAAGCAGCAATCTAATTTGTGCAGAGAGGCGTTTTTCAATAAATTTTTCTAGCGTGTTGCATTGTGGTCGTCATGCTCAGTTGTTGTGCGCAGTACACATCCACCCGACTCATGCTTTGACTCACTACACTACACTGCATTGCACTGCACTGCACATTTTCCCGATAGTCGTTTTAATGCCGCATTTATACTAAGGTATAGTTGTTTAGGGTTTTTTTGCGCAAAATTCCTTTGAAGTAATTTTCGCGCGAAAAAATTCTGGAATAATTTGCGTACTCGTTGCTGATTGGTCAAATTGCAAGAGTCGTTCCATTCTCCGTGCGGTCAGAACGGGGTTGACTACCTCACGGGCGTTCTTTGAGGGTGACGTCAATACAATTGGAAAGCGGTTTTCCACAATAAGCTCGTAATATCTTCGTAAAATCTTCGTATAGGATTCGATCCGCTATCCTTTATAGAGCAATATAGCCACAACACTATTGCAGCAATTGCTGAAATTGAACACACAGAAACAATAGTTATATTCA